CCCCCCCCCCCCCGCGGCACACCTCCACACGGGCCAGACGCCGGGCTTCCCTGCCGTCAGATTATTTGGCGGCACACCGGGAATCTTCCCCCCCCCCCGCCTGGGGGACGCCCGGCAAATCGAAAACGCTGCGTTTAAAGCGTTCGTAGCCGACTCTCCCAGGGCGTTTTGGCGGGTTTGCTTCCACTCAGTGGAAAGTGGTTTTCCCGTTATCCCCCCTCCCCCTTACCGCCCAAGGAGTCTTTCGGTCGGGACGATAAGCTGGGATGAGCCGGTTGCTTTGGAGCAGCTTTCTAAATGGCTACTAGATGGCGCTTTATGATCTTTGAAATAGGTGTTTTATTCATTTTTATTTTTAATCTCACTTGGAAAAAAACCAACTGAATTCATCCTGGGCGCCCACAATAAAAAATACCGAAAAGAACTGGTTGAACACACCAGCCCCACTAAAAAATTGATGTCTTTTGTGATGCAAAAGATCCTTGTAGCCCTTGATATTTTACTTTATTAATGCCTACACTATAACCCCCCCCCCTCTCCCCGGCCCTCCAATGTCGTGCCCATTAAAAGTACGGGGTGATTGATCACGAATTTCTTAATGTATTTGAAGGGTTCAAGGGAAAAAACCAGTGATGTCAAGTTTTGAGAGTTTTGAGAAACATTGATCCTAACGTTTGAACATTCCTCGTACAAGTATACAAATGTCAAGATGTCTAAATAGGTATTTATTGACTACGCTGCTTTTTCAGTTGGGTCCATGTGCCAAATTATTTAATTGAATGGCATGGAGCCACAGGGGAGATAACTTAAAAATTTCGGGAAAAAAAAATTAACGTATTAATTAATTCTGTTAGCGCCCATGTCAATGGAAAATAACCAGTGAAATGTCTGTTAAAGTGTTAGTCTCCCTCCACTCACAATTAAATATACCCTCCTCCACACACAAACACACTTTGCTACCAAGCAGCAATATCGCCCCACCCACCCACACTTCTTTGTTGACATCCTTTCCCCACCCTACACTACAGGCACACTTCTTTGTTGACATCCTTTCCCCACCCTACACTACAGGCACACTTCTTTGTTGACATCCTTTCCCCACCCTACACTACAGGCACACTTCTTTGTTGACATCCTTTCCCCACCCTACACTACAGGCACACTTCTTTGTTGACATCCTTTCCCCACCCTACACTACAGGCACACTTCTTTGTTGACATCCTTTCCCCACCCTACACTACAGGCACACTTCTTTGTTGACATCCTTTCCCCACCCTACACTACAGGCACACTTCTTTGTTGACATCCTTTCCCCACCCTACACTACAGGCACACTTCTTTGTTGACATCCTTTCCCCACCCTACACTACAGGCACACTTCTTTGTTGACATCCTTTCCCCACCCTACACTACAGGCACACTTCTTTGTTGACATCCTTTCCCCACCCTACACTACAGGCACACTTCTTTGTTGACATCCTTTCCCCACCCTACACTACAGGCACACTTCTTTGTTGACATCCTTTCCCCACCCTACACTACAGGCACACTTCTTTGTTGACATCCTTTCCCCACCCTACACTACAGGCACACTTCTTTGTTGACATCCTTTCCCCACCCTACACTACAGGCACACTTCTTTGTTGACATCCTTTCCCCACCCTACACTACAGGCACACTTCTTTGTTGACATCCTTTCCCCACCCTACACTACAGGCACACTTCTTTGTTGACATCCTTTCCCCACCCTACACTACAGGCACACTTCTTTGTTGACATCCTTTCCCCACCCTACACTACAGGCACACTTCTTTGTTGACATCCTTTCCCCACCCTACACTACAGGCACACTTCTTTGTTGACATCCTTTCCCCACCCTACACTACAGGCACACTTCTTTGTTGACATCCTTTCCCCACCCTACACTACAGGCACACTTCTTTGTTGACATCCTTTCCCCACCCTACACTACAGGCACACTTCTTTGTTGACATCCTTTCCCCACCCTACACTACAGGCACACTTCTTTGTTGACATCCTTTCCCCACCCTACACTACAGGCACACTTCTTTGTTGACATCCTTTCCCCACCCTACACTACAGGCACACTTCTTTGTTGACATCCTTTCCCCACCCTACACTACAGGCACACTTCTTTGTTGACATCCTTTCCCCACCCTACACTACAGGCACACTTCTTTGTTGACATCCTTTCCCCACCCTACACTACAGGCACACTTCTTTGTTGACATCCTTTCCCCACCCTACACTACAGGCACACTTCTTTGTTGACATCCTTTCCCCACCCTACACTACAGGCACACTTCTTTGTTGACATCCTTTCCCCACCCTACACTACAGGCACACTTCTTTGTTGACATCCTTTCCCCACCCTACACTACAGGCACACTTCTTTGTTGACATCCTTTCCCCACCCTACACTACAGGCACACTTCTTTGTTGACATCCTTTCCCCACCCTACACTACAGGCACACTTCTTTGTTGACATCCTTTCCCCACCCTACACTACAGGCACACTTCTTTGTTGACATCCTTTCCCCACCCTACACTACAGGCACACTTCTTTGTTGACATCCTTTCCCCACCCTACACTACAGGCACACTTCTTTGTTGACATCCTTTCCCCACCCTACACTACAGGCACACTTCTTTGTTGACATCCTTTCCCCACCCTACACTACAGGCACACTTCTTTGTTGACATCCTTTCCCCACCCTACACTACAGGCACACTTCTTTGTTGACATCCTTTCCCCACCCTACACTACAGGCACACTTCTTTGTTGACATCCTTTCCCCACCCTACACTACAGGCACACTTCTTTGTTGACATCCTTTCCCCACCCTACACTACAGGCACACTTCTTTGTTGACATCCTTTCCCCACCCTACACTACAGGCACACTTCTTTGTTGACATCCTTTCCCCACCCTACACTACAGGCACACTTCTTTGTTGACATCCTTTCCCCACCCTACACTACAGGCACACTTCTTTGTNGGGGGGGGGGGGGGGGGGGGGGGGGGGTTAATAGGTTTGACGCTCTTCTCCTAAGAAAAAAAAAAAATCACGCAGTTGGGCAT